GGAGCGCCGCTGCGCTTCCCAAGTGGCGCACTTATCCAGTGCGCCACCAGGCCGGCCCCTTGTTTTTTTTTAATTATGCTGAAATCCCCTTCCTGTGGGGGAGGAGACTGCAGACTTCAGGCAATGGTCATTGGACACCTGCTCCACCCCTTATTATGTGGCCATGTCCACCTTCCCTAATTTTGATGAGCCTCAGTTTCCTCATAGTGTTGCTAAAATGGATTAATCATAAAAATTATCCTTTGCCTGGCACTTAATATTTGGCACGTTTGAGCTGTTCTTTTTATAATTTGGTTTAGTTTTGTGTGTGCTGTGTTTGTTGTATGGTGTTTTTGTGGGTGTACGTGCTATTTTTGGTTTTTGATTGTGGAGAGCCAGTATAAACTAATATTTAAAGCACAGACTTCGAACTAGAGTGACCTGAATCCCAGCCCTGCCATGCAGCCACTGGGTAACCTTGGGCAAGTGACAATCTCCCTGAGCCTACGTCCTCAAAAAGGGGTGGGGGGCCTTAACAAGAGAACGCATATAAAGTGACTGGCATAGAGCAGCACTCAATGGATAGCCCTGCTGTTATTTTGTTGCACACATTGTTCTTAGTTCTGCCCAGGCACAGGCAATTCTAGTCAGCTCAATTCTAGAACTTTCTAACTGCCAGAGTCCCAGGAATAGAATGGACTACCCTGGGAAATAGTAAGCTCCGCATCAAACCGAGTTGTGTTAGCAGAGGCCAGAGACTAGTTGGGAGTGCCATGAGGTGGATTCAAGAAGAGGAAAGTGTTGGGCTTGTTGAGCTTTTAAAGTTCCCTTCCACCCTGAGAGGTCTGAATCTCACGTCAAAGGCCTCAGGCCCCTGTGTGGGGCTGTCCTGCCTACCTTGACGTGCCCAGACCTGGGGCAGGAAGGAGCCCAAGGGAGCCTGTGGGGACATGGAATAAACAGCCTGTCCCCAGGGCAGACGGAGGCACTGGCCCCCGCCCACCGGCATATCCTTCCCTCAGTCCCACGGGATGTTTATACTCTGGTCAGAGTTTACAGGACATCTGGATTTACAAGATCCAGAATTCTGACTTTCTCGCCCACAAAGCTGTCAGCCCCTTCTCTTGCTGGGTGGGTCTGTGTCTGTTTGGGGTGGGAGGCCCCACCCGCCAGCAGACACAAGAAAAGGGTACGACATGAGATGTTCTCTTCGGACCCCCTGAGCCCGGCCCCTGGTGGAGGAAGAAGCCTGGGCTGGGGGCATGTGAGAGGAAAAGGGTTGGCATCTCCTGCTGTTTATAGGAGAGGAGAGCTGGGAGAGTGGGGGTGGAGCAAAGGGACTTCTTTCACAACTCGGGTTCAAAGGCTGCTCCCCTGAACATTAAGCTGAAAACTGATGGTACTTATCAAAGTCTGCCTTGCAACTGGCTTCTGTCATTGGCTCAGATAGTGTTGTTTCTGTTGCAGTTGTTT